ACCCTGGCCGCCTGTCCGTGAAGGGGGGTCCCGCGGAGCCGCTGCTTCCTCAGTGCTGTGGAGAAGCCCTGAAAACCGTGGCCCAGCCCTGCGAAGGAGGCCCCCATGGAACTGCCGAGCCATGAGAGGGCCGGTTTGGAGGACTGGCGAAGGTGGGCGAATCCGTGTTACGCCCCATGGATCCAAGGGGTGGTGTTAACAGCCCAGGATAGCTGGAAACCTCCTTTCCAGTGTTTTTCACCAGCTCCTTCCCTGCCCCACACCACGTGTTTTGGGGGCTGCCCCTTCTTCACCGCACGGTCAAAAGGAGCGCAAGCAAAACCCAAGGGGGTGGGAACAGCACCGCCCCAGACCAACGCGACTCCCGCCTACAGCCTTCCTGCCTGGGGGAGTCCCTCCATCGGGGGCCCTCTCCCATCTCGCCAGGGCTTTCCCACAAGCCCCCCGAGAGCGTCCCGGCCTGGGATGATGCTGAGCCACAAGCTCAGGGGGAGCCCCGATACCAAGGTGATGGGCATCCTCCACAAAGCACGCCCAGGCTCTTGCACAGCACAGGGACCACTCCGTCCCTCCTAGCACTTGCGATCCAAAGCTGCCCAGGCGTGGCTAGACAGGCGGGTGCAGCGTACGCCTCCCAGCCCCCCACGATGGAGGGTTATCCAGTGTTAACGAAGCTAATTCAGGAGGCCGGATGTGTCCCATCCACAGCCTGTCAAACCAAGCCTACAGCTCTCTCTGGTAGGGTAACAAGCCTGGTGGATAAGAGAAACGGTGGACATGGTATAGCTAGACTTTAGCAAGGCACTGGACACGTCTCGCATGACCTTATCAACAGACATGGGAGATTCAACCTAGATGGGGCTATTATAAGGTGGGTGCATAACTGGCTGGAGAACCGTTCTCAGAGAGTTATTAATGGTTCCCAGTCATGCTGGAAGGGCAGAACAAGTGGGGTTTTGGGACCGGTTCTGTTCAATATCTTCATCAACGATTTAGATATCAGCATAGAGAGTGCGCTTCTTAAGTCTGCAGATGATCCCAAGCTGGGAGGGGGTGCAAGTGCTTTGGAGGGCAGGGTCAGAATTCCAAATGATCTGGACAAACTGGAGAAATGGGCTGAGGTCAACAGGATGAAGTTGAATAAGGACAAATGCAAAGTGCTCCACTTAGGAAGGAACAATCCGCGTGTCACACACAGAATGGGAAGCGACTGTCTAGGAAGGAGTACAGCAGAAAGGGATCTAGAGGTCAGAGTGGATCACAAACTAAATACGAGTCAACAATGTGATGCTGTTGCAAAAAAGCAAACACAATTCTGGGAGGCGTTAACAGGAGTGTTGAGAGCAAGACACGAGAAGTCATTCTTCCGCTCTGCTCAGCGCTGGTTAGGCCTCAGTTGGAGTGTTGTGTCCAGTGCTG